CACACTGTTTCTTGGAATCTAAGGCTCAGAGGTGCTCGGGAATGGGTGCTGGACCCGTTGGATTTGCCGATGCTCCACGTGTTCAGCTCCAGGGGAGGGACGTGGCGGGGCCCTTGGCGGCACCAGGATCGGGGCGAGCAGCTGTCCTGGGGGTTCCGGAGGTCGCCCCGGCTCTTTTCTCTTAAGAGATTAAGACCTAAACCTGTTGTTCATCATCGTGCCTGCTGAGTAGCTCAAGCTTTTTATGCGGATTTTAAAATGACTTGTCGACAATGCAACCACGTTAATATTTCGCTGTGTTTTCCTAGATACTGGGCTGGATCCTGATAGCGGCTGTTATGATCTGCGTTTCGGTTTTTGTGTCTATCGTCCGGTGCCGATCTCCAGTTAGTTTTATGGAGATGAAGTTTTGGAAAATCTATCTGGAACAGGAGGAGAAGGCCCTCAAAAGTCAAGCCACAGAACATGCAATGGAACTGGCAACAGAGAATGTTAAATGTTTCTTTGAGGGCTCACATCCAAAGGAACTCAAAATTCCAAGCACGAAAGACTGGCAGTGCATTTCGTTACCATATATTTTCAATTCGAAGGGACACTTCTACAGCGTGTTGCACAAACATGTCCACAGGGAAGATAAGATGCTCAGTAACAGTTCTTCTCAAGATGAGGTGGTGCCTGCTCTTGCTTTTGTGGATGCACATGAGATCACTGNCACGCTCAGTAACAGTCCTTCTCAAGGAGATGAGGTGGTGCCTGCTCTTGCTTTTGTGGATGCACATGAGATCACTGCCACTGATGAGTTATGACCTTAGGAATGAGTAGAAGAAAAGCGTTCTTTTGAATTTTTGCTTCATTTAAGAAAATAAACATTGGTATTGTTTATGGTGGCTTTTTTTTGGGGGGGGGGTCTTCCAAGTTATAGAAATATGGAATTTTAGATCCGAAATAAAAATTTATAATTCTACCTCTTTATTATATTAATTGTTAAAAAGGAATGAAGCTAAGTGATTCACTGAGAGTGACAAACTGGAACTAGATCAACAGTTTTATCGTCTTAGTCCAGGGTCCCTTTTACTAAATAATATTGCTGCTTTCAAATATAAGACTTTATTTAGTAACAAAAAAAGGTGAAAAAAATCGAACTTCAGATCTTTCTTTTAGATGATTTGATGTTAATTTTAAGTTCACGTTCTTGCAGGCAGCAACTTGTTAGGAACTTTAAATACTGGCATTTTATGTCTTTAATATGGTTACTAAACCAAAATACAAAAATTTATCATGAAGAAGAAAGTAAAATTTTTTAAATACAAAATTTGAAAAACTAGTTTAGGATCATTGCAGACAATAATTATTTTTAGTGGGTAGGATTAGAGGGGAAAATTTAAAGCTGTCTATTATAATAAATTTCAAATATGCACAGAAGTAGAGAGGATAGTATTATGAACCTCCAAATAGTCATTATACACCTTTAACAAAACGGGGAAGTCAGATAAAATCCATACCATACAAATAAATATAGAAATACAATTTATGACCTGATTTAAATGAGGGGAGGAGAGGTTGGGGAAGAATGTGAGAAACTGAAATCTGTAGAGCCCAAGAACAGCAGTTTCAGTTTGCAGGGATAGTATGTGCAAAGGCTGAGGTGACAAAGATCTTAGCAGAATTGGAAGCCTTAAAAGTACCTGGAAAAATGAGCAAGGGACAGATAGTAGAGCCCCTTAAAGTCAGGGGCAGAAGATTTTAGGTTCATTCCATGAGCATTAAGAAATATTTATCTTGCGAGGGTGTGGAGAAAAGGGAACCCTAGTACACTGCTGGTGGGAATGCAGACTGGTGTAGCCACTGTGGAAAACAGTATGAAGTTTCCTCAAAAGATTAAAAATTGACCTGCCATTTGGCCCAGTGATCCCACTTCTAGGAATATATCCTGAGAAACCCGAAACACCAGTCACAAAGAACTTATGCACTGCTGTGTTCATAGCAATGCAATTTGCAATAGCTAAGGTCTGGCAACAGCCCAGGTGCCCATCAGGAGATGAGTGGATAAAAAAGCTGTGGGACATTCACACCATGGAATACTACACAGCTGTAAAGAAGAAGGATCTTTTATCCTTTGGGACAGTATGGAGGGAACTGGAGAGGATTATGCTAAGTGAAATAAGCCAGGCAGAGAAAGACAAGTACCACAGGATCTCACTTATATGTGGAATGTAATAAACAAATAAACTGATGCACAAAGTGGACCCAGAGACATAGAAGCATGGAACAGAGTGAGGGATCTCAGAGGGAAGATGGGGAGGGGGAAATAGGTGGGGAGGGAGAATTCAAAGAACTTATATCTTTATAAGCAAAACCCGTGGACACAGACGCTGGTCTGGGGAAGGCCTGGGGGTGGGATGGATGCGGGGTGGAGGAGACCAATGGGGGTAAAAAGGGGACATCTGTAATATTTTCAACAATAAAGATAAAGAAACTTAAAAAAAAAAGTAAAAGTCATGGTCAGAAAGACATTAAATGTTTGGGTGGAAGATCAGACCCCTAAGAAAAGGAAATGTTTCTTGGCTTTATTCATGCAAACTGTCGGCAACAGAACAGAATTTAGAAGCATCTCATTTCAACACAGGAGGAAGGGAGAAATGAACGAAAGTTAATTGTAGAATATGAATTATTGCCTATGGAGGGTAAAAAAAGTTTCCATACTTTCCAACTAAGAAAAAAATATATATGTTTATCTGCTTTTCTTGCGGAAAAGGGGAATGGCAAGGGGAAGAGGGAGAGCCAAGGTGGAAATGGAGACTAGTCAGGAAGCCGCTGCAGTGGAGCGGGCAGGAGTGAGTTGAACTGGGTTGAGGGTGATGGAGAGAGAAAAAGTAAATAGATTCAAGGTAGGCTTTGAATATAGACATGACAGGATGTGTTGATGGATAGGGTACAAGGATTTATTGAGAAGGTTGTGTACAGATAAATTCTGTTGCTTGATGAGGTTAGGATTTTTCAGGGGGCATTTGATCATCTGCATTTCCGTCCATCCCACAAATTCATGGCTATTTTGTGCATTTTTAAAAACGAGATATGAAACCTTTAAACTGTAAAACAATTGAGCATTGACCACTTTAAGCCATTCTTTCTCTTTTGGCAGACCCTTGTGCCGGCTTCTACTTGCGCTTTGTCACAGAAGGCCGTTAAAAAGCTAGTCAGCCCGGCTGAATATCCTGTTGTTGAGAGTCACGTATAACAAGACAGTTGGCAGGAGAAACGACATGATTCGCTTTTTTTCATTCCCTAACGGGTACTTTTGAAAATCATATCACATCTACTTTCATTTTTGCTTCCTTTATTTCATTTCCTTTTTGTTATATCCATCCCTTTCAATAGTTCTGTGTGTTTTTCCTGGTCTACCGTTTATACTGACATCTTCAATAGTCTTACATTTCTCTATTTTGTTGACTTATGCTCCACTTTCTCTTGACCAGTGTTTAATGATTACTGTTAAAGTGTACATGCTTAATTAAGATAAACCATGATAATGGTAGGGAAGCATGTGAAGGAAAGAGTAAAATTACCTTCCTTTGCAATATATTCTTCCCAGAGAAAGCTGTATACTCTGTGTCTACACAAATGTTATCACACTATAAGTGCTATTCTGCAACTTTGTCACATAAAACATTGCTGTTCCATGTACATATATAACAATCTGCCTCACGAAAAATTACTGCATAGTATTCTGATTAGTATACTATGATCTCTTTTTGTTAAACAAAAAAAGTACACAACACGCATACATACATACATACACAGGCATTCATATAAAGATAAACACTAAATTGTCAAATTTGGTCAGTTTTGGAAACCAATAAAGAGGGAGAGGATTTGTTTTCAAACCTCATGCACTTCTGACCTTTGGATTTTTTGGTAATGGATTATAAATATTAACTGTGTTTTTAGAAAAGATGAAGAAGGAACCCTTCACTGTCAACAAAGCAGTTTTGCATCTTTCACTTCATTTCATTTTCGTGTGTTTGAAACACATCACTCACACTTATAAGTAAGGAATTGAAGATGAGAGAGGGTACATTACTAGTCCAAGGTCTCATGGTCAGCGAAGTAGAGCTGAAGCTAGGAGCTGATCTTCTCTGGATCATGTGGTACAAAGTGGCCACGTGGCTATTTTTATTACAGATTTTTCTTTTTTAGTCCATGTGTCCTTATAAGCAGAGAAGATTAAAATGTCCTTAGTGACTCTAACATTTTTCATCTCATTCTGAAACTTGGCGACTGTTGATAGTCAAAGCCACTTTGAATAAACATAGTGAGATCAAGACAGTTTTGTCATGATGGGAACATGGTCACCACTGTTTGGTAGGACACCCCACTCCTCTGAGCCCAGCCCCAACCAGGTCATGTCATGGGCTCAAGAAGCACTTCTACATTTTGTGTATATTTATTTGCTAGCTCACCAGCTGATTCTTCATAAACACCCTGGCTTTATGCTGCCCTAAAATCTTAACTTTGGAAGAGGTTCAGACACAGCATCTGCTATTAATATTTGTTGAAAAACGACCATATTGTTCTGAGGGATGATTCTACAATGTATTGAGTACTGGCTAGATGACACAATTTACAGAGCCTAAGATTATTCATGGTCTCTTTGCTCCATTCAAAGGCGTGGAGAGAAATATCAATGGCCTATGAACTGATTAAAGAAGCAAGTCCTGAGGGAAACATAAGAAAACAGAACTAGCCATGTACAGAAATATCTCTGGTTGAAAAACATCTTGAAACCTCTAAATTTCACATCTTGCATCTTATCTACCAGGTGGCCTATTGTAAATAACTTTTCCAAAGACAAGAGATGGAGAGATGCCCTCCGAGTCAACCCCAGCGGCAGCAACCACTGTCTATTTTGTCAGCAACAAACTCCCACCGTCGACCATGTGTCAAACACCCGGCGGGCCGGGAACGCTAAGCCTTCAGTTGGTCTTATTTTGCCTCCTACTCTTTATTACCTACATATGAAAGATCTTTTGCGAATTGCAATGTGACGACTATGGAATTCATTACACTACATTCTTATCCAAGGAAAGAGGCTTGTATCGAAAAAGAGTTATGCTCTGTCAAGACCCTTTACTACAAAGAACAGAACATTAAAAACTTCCAACTGAAAGAATAATTGTACAAGATTAGGCATTTTGTTGTCATTTTAAAAACTGTGTGATATCGAACACAGAGAAGACTAAACGAAACATTTACATACACTTTAAAGAGCGACAAACAAACATCTGTGTAACTAGCACAGAGGAGAAAGAACTGGCGCATCTCCAGCATCCCCAGAGCTCCCGGCTCGTGCGCCTCTTCAAAGCCCACTTAGAGGTGGGGACTGATCCTTTCCTACTTTTGTTTGTAGTCTTATCACCTACGTGTGCCTTCCTAAACTGTTAATGTTTAGTTTTGTCTGTTTTGAACTTTTTATAAATGAAATCATCCCCTAAGAATTATTTTATCTTCCTTTGGGGTTTTGTTTGAAAGATTCATCTATATTATGTCCGGAACAACTTATTTATTTTGACTGCTGTATAATATTCTACTGCATGAATACATCGCCTGTAACAATCTAGTTATCCATTTAACTGCCGATGGGCATTCGGGCTGTTCTTGGTTTTTGGCTCTTCTGTGCCACGCTGGAGTGAACATTCACGTGCTCTGGTATACACAGGAAGGCGTTTCTTCAGCGTGTGTTCCTGGAATAGATGGTACCACAAAGGCATGTATGTATTTTAGTTTGCTAGATACTGTCAGAAGTTTG